AAACTGGTTCTATGCATTATATTCATATTTTCATGTTACGCGCCATGTTTGATACACAGAAAATACCTGTTAACGTTAACATCTTGCAAAAAAGCAACTTGCAGTAATTGAGCATAAATCACAAGTAAGTTAAACATGGGAAACTTTTCTTCAAAGAAATGTATATTTCATATTTTCTTATAATGCAAAATTTAAAGTAGGAATAAGTTTCTGTAATTACTGATCTGTAAAAAATTATTTCATTGCTTATCATAGGATAATAAGATGAATGAATGTGAATTATATATTTCACCCATACATAATTGATCTTAATTCTACTTAATAGTTGATAATTTTGTTGTAAATGTGTTTAATGTTTGAAATTGATAACTGTAATTACTGTTATAACTGTTAAATTTTTTAATTAATTGCTGTTATTATAGTTAAGAGTTGAAATTGATTACTGTTATTAAGTAATATATTGTAATTGATTACTGTTTTTGTAGTGAAGAATTATAATTGGTGATCATTGGTATAACAGTAGGAAATTGCAACTGATTACTGTTATTACAGAAAAAGACTTGTAATTGATTACTGATATTATGGAAAGTAATTTCAATTGATTACTTTTATTTCAGCAAAAAATTGTTATTGATTACTGGTATTGCAGTAAAGAGTTGTAATTGTTTACTGTTGTTACGTTTCGGAATTGTAATTGCTTACTGTAATTATAGTGAAGTATTTGTTATTGCATCGGTTTGATGTACTACAAAATTCAGTGAAATTATTTCCGACTTTTATGATAAATTATTTTATTATTCGACTATAATGAAAGTAAATCATTTTTTACAGCATTATACTTCTTTAGCAAAAAATTTCAACGGGAAATATTTTAGTTAAGAAAATATTTGTACTGAAAAAATATATTAAAAAAAAAATATTCTGTTGTATTTTTGTTTGTGTGTTTTATAAAAACAGTTAATTTCATGTTTTTAATTCTCAATTTGAAGTAAAATAATCAGAACATTGATTTAATTTAATTAACCTTTGTAATAACTGTTTTACATGGATAGTTATTTTGAGTTGTGAACAAACAAATTTGTAAAACTTGTAAAAAAATGTTTAGCTTGAAAATATGAACCCAGCATAATTAAAAATTATTTTTATTTTAAGAGAATTCTTGCATACAATTTAAAAGGCTGCTTCTTCAAAGATTTGCAGATGAAACATTTTTTGTTGTTGGAAATTAAGTAAGCTGGAACAAAAACTGAAAAAAATCTATATTTGCTGTTGTTACTTTTTGTCACTATCTCCATGCTAACTTACACATTAAGTATGAAGGAAATAGGTTCACTTAGAAATCTGTATGTATATAGTGTTATGGTCACGTGACAGTTGGTAGTGAAATACACGTTAAAATGCTCTGTAGAATTTTGTGTTTTTTAGTGGAAATAACTCATATTTCAAATAACTCTTTGTGAAAAAACAGTGTCAGAGTTAATATACGGATTTTACAGGGTAAAACTATGGCTTTTAATTTGGAATTTGGACAAAATTTAAGCGGCAAATCTGCACAGGTAAAATCAGGTGTACCAGGTGGGTCAACACAAGATGGCGGATCTCGTGCACGGACAGATTGGTCAGTGGTCAAGCGTAAAAGAAGATCTACAGGGGGTTCGTACGCAGACATTTATGATAATAGCAATAATAGCAGTATGAAAAATACTAAATGCGTATCTAAAAATGAATTTGTGAAAATGGATACTGATCAGAAACTTAATGCCTTGTATGACATGATTGCTAATAGTAGTGGGTTGACGCAACGTCTGCAAGCCGTCGAAACAAAACTTGACAATATAGAAGTAGAACATGATAAAACACAATATTACCTAAAAACCCTACAATACAAGAGTATAGACCAAGAGGCTAGAAGCCGTAGAAACAATCTCATATTCAGAGGCATTCAAGAGCTGTATTTGAATGAGAACTGTGAAGATACGCTTGCTGGCTTCCTTGAGCAGTATCTAGATATTGATACCACTAGCATCTGTGTAGAAGACTGCCATCGAATTGGAGCACCACGTGGTAAGACTAGACCAATTATTTGTACCTTCTCACAGAGGAAAGATGTTGAATATATCCTCTCAAAAGCCAACCTTTTGAAAAACACAAATTATGGAATAAATAGAGATTACCCCCAGGAAATAGTTGCTGCACGAACTAAAATTTGGCCAGAGTACAAAAAGCAACGCAGTATCCATAGTAAAAAGGGTCAAGTATTTATAGGCTATCCCGCAAAGCTCATAGTAAACAGAAAGGTCGCCCAGGACGAATTCCAGATTGGAAGGAAACCATACAAAGGCCAAGAACCATAAATAACGAACAAATGACAAATAGCATTAATAAACAAAGTGAATATGCACATATACAGGTATCATCGAACAGCAAACAGACCGCTGTCAATGTTGACAGTGATACAGTCGTCGAAATGGAATCAGAAAATTCAGACCATAGTGATTCTGAGAGCACTAATAGTATCAACGATGTTTACTCTCAGGAAATGCAGAAAATGCATCGCAGACTATCGCGAAAAAATACCAATGCACCTTTAAACCTAAGCAATAAATTCGCAATGTTATACGAGGAAGGAGAATCCTCTACCAGAACAACAGAACAGAACAGATCTCTTTATTTCTTTCCCAGGGTACATGGTAATACAACATGGGGATATACTATAAACAAATATAATATTATAAACAAACTTCCGATAGTACTTTATCAGCTGATGAATGGTGTATTAATTCAAAATAGTATGAGGATTTTCAGTAACATTTATAGATAAAGATGTTAATTTTGGGGGAATCCTTCAATAAAGATTTAATATGCACATTATTCATCTGATGATATAGTTCTTATCTATATAAGTATTAAAAAAACAAACAAAAAAAAACAAAAACTAAACTTTTTTTGACATATCATGGAAAAGTGACCTTAATGTTAATGTGTTCAAATCATTACTATGTTAAAACAAGAAAAAAAAAGAAAGAAAAAATGACCAATAGCTCACTAGAGTGTTTTCATTAACATGTTTTTAAGCTAGTTATCCTTTGAAAAAACATCAAGAAACATTTCAATGTACAGTAATACATAAACACATATTAAATAGTATCCTATACATTAGACAAAATTTTCCATATGATCAGCATGCTATATAGAGACTTTTAAGTCATAAGTTATACTACATGTATTGTACTTTACAAAATTATAGAGAGAGAAAAATAAAATGAAGTGTGTTTTAAGTAAGATTAATAAAAGAGACAATTTAAATTCATACAAGTCAACACCAAGCCTTTATCAAGGAGCATAAATAATAATCTTGCATGTACGCCCCTGTAATCTTAAATCGTTAGCCTAAGTACATATACAATTCGCAATGTTAAATAGTTCGTAATAAAACACATTTAATTAACAACAATAATGATATGATTAATTATATTTGCTACCAACGAGTGCTTTGCGCAAATATATATTTTCTATGAACTGTTTAGATCAACTTAAAGATTTCTAGAAAAAAAATAATGTAGTTTCTTTAAGTAGGGAGAGTTTGTGGGCTATGCACGTAAAAATCATGGACTTAATACATGTAATTTTACAACGAAAAAGAATGTCATTCATAAGTGTGTGTAATATTTACATGGATTTATTACAAAGGTAAAGTTCTTTTGTCGGAAAACGGTAGCTATTATAAATGAATACACAATGTCTAGGTACTGTAAGATGATAACACGTTCATTTAGATAAAGATAAAAAGAAGAAAGAAAAAGGAACACAGTTGTTTCTTCTATTGCATAACTTATGCTAGTTAAATTTAGACATAATAATGCCGGTAAATTTACTTAAATTAGAAAGAGTATTTTCATTTCTACTTGATAATATTCTCGCAAAACAATGGACGGTATCTGAAATATTAATTTGATGTAGGAGGGAATTTCTTTCTGTATTAAAGAAGGAGCATTTAAGTAAATAATGTTGCTCCGAGCCTATACTCCGGAGTTACAGAGTCTACACGTGCTATCTAGAAAAGCGGTTCGCCGTCCCCAATGCGCTGTTTCAATTGGTAAACAGTTATTACATGTACGAAATCTGAATAAGGTTATGTAGCTTTCATTTGGGAGTATATTGAAATATGTCTCGTATTCTAAAGTGTTTTTAAATGAGCTGTAAATTCTACCTTTATTCGACGCTTGTAAATCATTATACCAACTTTGTTTAAATTGATCAATTAAAGTTTGTTTTACAATTTTGTGGATATTTTTATGCACTAAAATTTGCTGGTTTTGCCAAATATCAGGTCTTCCTACATTAACGAGAATCTCTTTAATTTTACTTGTCAATTTAAATCCAGTATCATTCCGATTTAACATGTAATTGTAAATTTTAACGGATAGTTTATTTTCATTTCCAAGCACTAAACGTGACCAAAAAGAGATCATTTTAGCATATACGCTGTGGCGCCGTTATATGTCGCAACACCGCTAAATGTCGCATTTACCGCTAAATGTCGCACCATTGCCGCTAAATGTCGCAACCGCCGCTAAATGTCGCAAAATCATTTGCCGTTAAATGTCGCAATGTTAACGTTATATGTCGCACGGATTTCCCCTACCGTTAAATGTCGCAACACTATCGTTAAATGTCGCAAGATGTTGAACTCGAGTTTTATATAAATCAGCGGATCTGTGGATTTTACAGATACAGCGAGTGTTGTATTCTTACGCATTTTACAAAACTTTTTCTTACTCATACTATGTTGTTATTGGTGGTGGTCGTGTTGGCGGCGGTGGCAGCGGCCGCGGCGGCGAAATTAAAACGCTTTTTAAGGCAAAACTTAGAAGAATTAAAATTACCTCTTATGAAAAAGGTAACAGAAATATTTCATGGATTTTTTTGGTTGAAATTTATGGAAAAATATACTGAAAAACATTACAAAAGGAAAAAAAGATATTTCAGACGTATGTATAAGTTACCTGCCCCTGAGATTACCCCAAATAAGTGGCTTGCCCGGCTATAGACTACACGTGAAAATCAAATAAAAAAAAACAAAAAAAATATAGAATTCTGTACCAGTCCTATCAATGACATTGTCAGTGTCAGTTCTAGCTAGGCGCCGTTGAACGTTTTAATAGCCAGAGCAACAGAAATAAATTAGTGTAGATGTGATATATACGCGCTGCATTTTGAACAATCTTATGAATATTTTTTATTTTCTACTTTTGCAATCTGTTTTTTTTTCAATTTTGTTATTTTAGTCTGATGCTGATTTTTTAAAAAATAAGTCAGTGTTCATGTAATTTACTTTTTTTTGTTCACATTTGTTACAATGTCACAAATGTGTTTCCTATTCTAATTAAAATCTGGGACCAAAATTTTATTATTGTTCCAGTTAAAATATACAAACCAGGGTATGAATTTTTTAAAACTAACGCAGAGATATAGATAAATCTACATCTCTAATAAACGTTATTGCTATGACGAAACTGGTAATATCTTTTTCTAAATTTATATACTATTGGATGCACGTTAACTTGTGTGCAAGATTTCAGATTATTCGCTCACTCTATTTTTCCAGTATAAGTGCAAAATGACCCAAAAATGAAAAGTGGTTAAACGCTTTTAAAACCCAAATCGGACAAGAATTACACATAATCGCGGATTTAGATATTACATTGTAATTAAGATCCTTGACAAAATAGAATTTATATCGAAATCAAATCAGAGTACATATATTTATTATATACCTATAAATGAAATATTGAGAAATATTGATGAAATAAAACGCTTATTTTCATTTTCGTACTTCACTGTAAAAAAGGATTTTAGTGAAACATATTTTCTGTGTATTCACTGGTGTCTTGCCGGACTTCTCTCTTTCAAATTTAAGGAATAGTTTTCTAAATTGTAATTTAAGAATAGAGACAAATGTATATAATAAACAAAAAATTCAAGTTTTTTCTATAAATACATGATTTATTTTCATATTGTGGCATGAAAATTATCACATTTCACTCGTGGATACCGCCACTCATGAAATATTTATTCTCATACCACTTGATGAAAATAAATCGTGTATTTACAGAAAAAACTTGAATATCCCCTATACATTTTAACATCTTTTGTATATTTGTCCTGCAGTTTATCTATGTACGAATTTATTTTTTATGTGTTTAGGTTTTAGGACCTCAGTGGAGATCCTTTAATTAAATACCTTAACAAACTTATATATTATAAACCGTTTTTAACTTTAAGGTCCCAGCTTCTTTCAATATTTCATTTTGATACCACTTCCAATTGTTCTTGCGTCTTAATGCCCGAATGACGAATAAAAACTGTTTCGCGCATGTCACGTGATGGTGTGCCAACCACGTTAACTTTTTGGTCCTTCCGAATTATCCAGGCGGGGAACAATAGTTTCATATAAATACATAGCAAATTAAATCGTGTGACTGAAAAGAGGTCGGAAAATGTTTTGCTGGCGTCTTTAACGGATTTGTTTAGTAAAGTTTTTTGGTGAGAATCAATCAGTGGTTAAACATACAAGATTGTCCCCGAGCGCTCAAGATTCATGGTCGAGTGATTTTCCATGCACTTTACTGTTAGCTACATTTGCGTGAAGTTTGTGAGAGGGACGTGACGGAAACAAAAGTATGGCAGATTTGGAATTGTTTCTTTTATTTTAGGACGTCGAAGAACTTAGTATCAATCAAAAATGTAAGTTATTTTATATTTTATTAATAAAAACTATATAGCCGAAACGTAATATTATTACACATGAAAATCGGGAAAGCGTTACTGTTTTTTTTTAGGAAAAAATGTAAATATTTCACAGAAAATTCGGGAAATGTTATTGTATCACATAAAATTTGTAAATTATCAAATATGTTTCGTAGGTACAATTTGTTTGACACAAAGTTAAATTTTCCATGAATATGGACTTTAATTATAAATTAGCATTAATCATAAGGATTATACATGTTAAACTTTTAACAGTTTAATTTTTCATGTGACGTTTCGATCATAGTTATTTTTGACCATTATGATAATTGGCTTATGATATAAAACAAAATACAGATATGAATAATTGATAGTTGGCATATGAGGTCTAACAAAGTATTGACACGGATGATTGACGTGTGATATGTAAAAATGATGGCCATGTTGATGACAATGTTGTTTTGATGAGGACGTCCATGGGTGTTACAGTGATGATGGAATGACGTTGTTCAAGTGAGCATCAGGTAAATTTAGTTATTTAAAGGAACGAGCTTTTTTTAGAAACTAGTTATTATTAGACAAATGAGTTTTAACTTTTCTTCGTAAGTTTTATCAGTTTCAGAACGATGCAAGTAATCATACTATATCGGGCCATGCGTGTGGAACAAGGACAGCACACATTATGCAACATTAAAACAGCATTTACATTTGGAAAATTTGACATTATAAGAAATTTGATATACATATAATACATGTAAATGGTATTATGTCAGTAACTGAAACTGCGTAGAATTACAAAATTTTATTTTAGAAATGAAGATTCTTTGTCAAAATTGAAAACTATGTTTTATGTTTATGTATATTGACGATATTTTGTGTGCATTGTTTATATCGATTTTGGTTGTTTTGGTATCTTTCTCAATTTTTGGAGTTGGTGTGTGATTGGGGTTATTCGATTTTGGTTCGGTGTTTTAGTTTGTCTCTTTGTTGGAGTTGTTTATGAGTGGTATGGTAGTTTTTCTTTGTCTTTGTTGGAGTTGTTAATGTCATTTGTGTGTTATGGTTGCTTTTCTTTGTCGAAAATTCTGGCCTTATTTCTGAATAGTTTGGGAATTGGTGGTCGATAAGACAGTTGATTCTTTGCTGATACATTGTGATCGATTAAAAAATTTCGGATTTTGTTAAACATGTACATGTACTAGTCGAATTATTATTATTCATCATTTCAAATAGTTATATCAATTTCATAAAAATGGGAGACACATTTATAGTTATATTGAATTTTTAGCTGTACAATACCCAATTTTGTATAATAAATTATGTTTAATATTAATGTGATATTTTTGATAATTATATAAATACATAGGTGGAGAATGCGGCAATATATTAAAGATAACATTGATTCTTTTAGATTTAGAACGTGACATTTCTAATAATGATATTCGGGTGTTGAATGCGACATTTTTAACAATTATATATACTGATTATTTTAGATGCAGAATGCGACATTTTAGACTAGTATAATATTATTGTTCTTTGGTTTTTCGTTTGTTTTCAGATGTCGTAAGAAAATATCACTGGATTACTTTTGAAAGACAAGACTAGATAAAATTGTATATTTCTAAATATTACCACTATATAATTCATACTATTGAAGAAAAATGTTTATTGATCATTTAGCAGACGTAAAGCAGGAAATGGCGGGAAGAATCCTAGCAGACGACAGTTGTCGCGCAGATGCAATCATGCACCATATCAGACTGCCCGAAATTACAGGCTGGCCCAGCTCTATACTGGACTCGCTTTCAGCATGTTACAGTAGGGTTTGAAAAAGGAAATCATAACTTTGTAACGTATGTCTTGTCTACTTTTTGAAAAATAAACTTTCGTGTCAATGTAATAATTATGTTGACATATCATTATTGTCTAATGTTTCATAATGAACCATTTTTAGCCCAACTGTTTAAAAAACGAGTAAGGGCTATTTTAGTCACTTGGTCGTCTGTTCTCGTAAAACATTTCGTTTTGCATGTTTTGTGTGTAACTTCCTACCTTAGAATTCATTATGATTGTGTAACGGGGAACATAATCTAAACACCTTTAACTTTAAACTAGATTTTGATTTATATAATTACATGTATGCCACTTAGTCAGCTTGATTTAAAGCAGTCATGTCTAAAATAATAATTTAAGTTTACAATATATTCTTATCAAATGAGCATAATAATGTTGAGTTATGGGTCATTAAGAACATTTCAGTAATTTAAACAAATAACTTACAATTATTTTTAAAATGCTAAAAAATGTAACATTTGTTCGACCATGTTACCAATAGTGTATCTACAGGTAGCAGACGACAATAAATTTTAAAGTGGAAATTTGCGACTTCCGGTGTGTCTGCTACTCGATGTTGTGATCTTAGTTACTTCCCCTGACGTTCAGTATATGAAATGAGGGTCGAGGTAAGTAAAGATATTTTGAAGAAATACAAAATTTAGCTAAACATAGAACAATACATTTTACAGATAAGGCTTTGTGAGTCGCTGATTACACCTTTAACTCCGCAAAATATTTTAAATGGACTTGCCCATCTTCAAATCTGGACAAAACCATTAATCATTTTAAGGGAAAATTTCAAAATATGTCATGTATGTAGTGACTTAATATCGAATAGTGCAGATCATGAGCAGATGTCAAGGATATGCCGACTGGTTTTGGTCGGCACTGGTCGCACGGGTAAATGTATGCTGGCACTAGAAGGCTGAGAGTAAATCAAAATATTGTACCACACAAAATATTCAGAAAGTACTAATTACAGTTTGTCAGGAGAAATGTCTGCCTTGATGTTATTTAATCTAAGAAAAGATTTAGTAATAAATACTAGAACCAATTTCCAAGATATGGAGGCTGGGCAGCACCGCCTGACATAAAAGTGAAATATTCTCAGTTGGAAAACTAGCATGTAATTGTTTAGTTAACACTATCTTTTTTTTAGGTATTTTTATCCTTTTCTATCTCAATCAATATATACATGTAAACAACAAACTCTGATTATTATTTACACCCAAAACAAAGAACTCTGATCATTATTTACACCCAAAACAAACACACATCATTTATCAGCCACTTATATGAAATATCTTTTCACGTATACGTCTTTTATACGAAACAAGACACCTGGCGAGTCCAAGCTCTAACAACTTATGATCAAACAACAATAAAATCACCACAAAATGAAGAACACAAAAAAATGAATATTTTTACAACTCTAAGATACGGTATAAACCACAAACCACATCCAACAATATTAACTTCACACAATCTAATCAGCATCAGAAAACAACTTAAACTAAAGCACCCAATATTTACATATATCCTCAAA